CACATCAGTAGTTGAATAGATAATGAAGATACAGTATGTGTGTGTGTGTATAGACACACATACATACACACATATATATAATAGAATACAACTCACCCATAAGAAAGAAGGGTATTTTGCCATTTGTGGCCCTTCATTCACTTTTTTTTTCACTTCAAAACCCAGAATTTTATAACTGGCATAAACATTTCTGTTACATCAAAAACATCAAAATACCTAGAAATAAACTTAACCAAAAAGGTACCTGTACTCCAAAAATCAAAATGACACAAAGAAATGGAAAGAGTTCTTGTGCTCTTGGATTGGAATAATCAACACTATCAAAATGGCCACACTAACCAAAGCAATCCACAAATCCAGTGCAACCCCCATCAAAATACAAGACTCTTCACATACCTAGAACAAACAATTGCAAAATTTATAAGGAACCACAAAAGATATGGGTCTCGTTTTTGTATCAATTCAGCCAGTCTATGTCTTGGTTGGAGTGGTTAATCTATTTACATTGTATATTCTTATTGCCATTTTGTTAATTATTTTGGTTTTATTTTGTAGGTCTTTTTTTCCTCTTACTCTGTTTTGTGGTTGATGACTAGAGAAATTTCTTTAACATTTATTGTAGAGCTGGTTTGGTGGTGCTGAATTCTTTTAGCTTTTTCTTATCTGTGAAGCTATTAATTTCTCCATCAAATCTGAATGAGAGCCTTGCTGAATAGAGTATTCTTGGTTGTAAGTTTTCTCCTTTCATCACTTTAAATACATCGTGCCACTCCCTTCTGGCCTGCAGTTTCTGCTGAAAAATCAGCTGATAACCTTATGGGAGTTCCCTTGTATGTTATTTTTTGCTTTTCTCTTGCTGATTTTAATATTTTCTCCTTATCCTTAATTTTTATCAGTTTGATTACTATGTGCCTTGTGTGTTCCTCTTGGGCTGATTTTATGTGGTACTCTCTGTGCTTCCTGGACTTGAGTGACTGTTACCTTTCCCAAGTTAGGGAAGTTTTTGGTTATTATCTCTCCAAAAATTCTCTGAGGTCCTTTTTCTCTCCGTTCTCTTTCTGGGACCACTATAATGTGAACATTAATGCACTTCATGTTGTTTCAGAGTTCCCTTAAACTATCTTCACTTCTTTTCATTCTTTTCCCTCTTTTCTGTTCTGTAGTCGTGAATTCCACTAACCTGTATTCTAGCTCACTGATCTGTTCTTCTGCCTCATTTAGTCTATTCTTGGTTCCTTCTAGTGTGTTACTCATTTCAGTAATTTTATGCTTCAACTTTAGGTATTTATATTTTCTGACTCTTTGCTGAAACGTCCCCCAGTGCATCTGTACTCCTGAGTCTCTGAACAGCTTCACCATCATTAGTCTAAACTCTTTCTTGGATAGATTGCCTATCTACTCATCACTTATTTCTTTTTCTGAAATTTTATCTTGTGTGTTAGCCTGGATGATACTTCTCTGTTTCCTCATACTTTCCATCTTTGTATTTGCATTTTTAGGCAGGTTAGTTATGTTTCTCAACCTTGGAGAAGTGACCCTCTGTGGGAGACATACTGTGTGTCCCAGCAGTACATTCTTCTCTTGTCACCCAAGGGCCAGAGTCCAGCTGGTCCCACGGTAGAGTCTGGCCTGTGTTTGTGGATTCCTTCCACAGGCTTTGGGTTTGCTGCTTTCTTACTTCTGGTGCCTGCCCCCTGTTGGATGAAGCTGAGCTAGAGGCTTATGCAGGTTTCTTGGCAGAAGGAGTCAGTGCCTGCCCACTGCTGGGTGAAACTTGGTCGTGGACCTCTGGTGGTTAGGGCCCTGTTTAGGGGCATGTCTAGAGGTGTTTATGGCTCAGGAAGTCTGCTGATGGGTGGGCCTAGGTCTTGGTGCTGATGGCCCCTTCAAGATGACAGCCTCTAGGAAAGCTCATGTA